AACCAACCCTCCCCGCAAGCAGAGTCCCCGATCAATCCCACCTAGAACCCTTGGCCCCCCAAAGCTGAGCCCTAAGGTAACCAATGCCACGTGATCAACGCCCACACCCCTAGTCTGCATCCCTTCAACGTTTATTCATGAAGTCATTTTTCGGTATCAAACCTCGAACCCCGAACCTCATGCTTATCAGTGCCCAGTGTTAACCTACCGAGCTACAGTCTCGCATGGTCTGAACGTGTGCTACGCTGAGCTCGAGTAAGAGACAAGCGTGCAAGCATCCAGACAACCTCCAGGACCAAGTGTGCAAGCCAACCAATCGTAGTCTAGAGCCAACACACACACACCATGGACGATCCCCACGTGGGTGGTGCGCAGGCAGTGTCTGAGATAGCTTACCTTTGTCAGCCCAAGGGGGTAGTATGCAAGTGACCGTGCGTTATGTCACAGCACGCCGGTGTCTCTGCGCAGAGGTGTGGGGTTTTGAACCCATAACCACTCAGACCACAATGCGCATTGACAACCGGTGCCCTAACGACTCAGCCACAGGCTAGTGTCTGTTTGTTCGTGCCTGCTGCATCCAGGTGTTCTGCATCGAGCAGGAGGGAGCGCCCGATAGATACTTGGATTCATTGAACGTGGCAGTCAATATACAGCCCTGGCAAAGCTAAAAAACTGGAGACCCCTGATCGGTATTTGTGGGGTCAATGACCAACACGGGTATGAGTGCCAGCGCGAGTGGGTTGTGTGTGGTGTGTGGGAGAGTGTTGGCCATAGCCTCTGCCGCTACTCGATGAGGGGTGGGGGACGATGAGAAAGGGAGGCGAAGCTACTGGCAAAATGCTCGGTCTTTGCGTTATTCGGACCCCCACCGGCGGCCCCACCCCATCTCTGACTACCGCTGCTGGGGCGGGGGGCAACATGAATTACCTCGTTTGCGAGGCCCTATGCTTGCAGCGGTCCCCTCTATATAGTCTTAGGAGTAGTGGTAGGAAGACAGTGAGAGCCGAAAAAAAAATTGAGAGAAAAAAAAAAACAAAAAAAACTGGAGACATTGAGCCTCACTGCAGCCCGGCCCATTGGAGCGCCGAAATTAAAAACGCATTGCACTATTTGCAAGAGCGCCGAAATTAAAAACGCATTGCACTATTTGCAAAACTGCAAAACTTCCTCGCCACACCACTCTCGAAATGTGAAAAGGACAAAAATGTGGCGGGTGCATCGGGCCATGTTCTAGCGGGAAGTTCATTCTCATTTTGCACAATTCGAGAGTGGTGTGGCGATGCCCTTAGTGCTGTTAGGAAATACCCTAACCAGTTGTTTCATCACAAGATATCATGGCCTGAGGACGTATTCACACCAGGGCTTTTTCGAATCAGCTATGACCGAGATTGCGGTCAGGTACATCCATCGAGGGTCGGAAACACGAGAAAAGGACAAGAAACAGGGGTCTGTGACAGATTGTTCCGTTGGAGTTTAGCAGCACCGATACACAGAGGTAGCACGTAGGGTCTCGCTCCACTACTCACCATATTTTGTCTTTTGTGCATGCGGTGAGTAGTGGAGCGAGGCCCATACTATACATACTATGGGTCTCGCCGCACGGCACACGAACGAAAACGAAACGAGTGCATCTGCCCACCAAAGGTGGCAAAATACACTCGTTACTATTTATACCAAACCGATGAACCTGGCCATTTTCTGTGGGAAGATACATTCGTTTCGTTTTTCGTTCCGTGTTCCGTTGCCCATATTGTGTCATAGAGAACTGCCTGGTAAACTGCAAGCAGAAAAAGACGCAAAAAAAAAAAAAGAAAAAAAAAAGGGGGAAAGGACAAGAAAAGGGGAGCTGCCAGAAAAAAGAAAAAAGAAAAAAGAAAAAAGAAAGAAAGGACAAGAAATGGGGAGCCTGCATCAGACTGTTTCATTGGAGTTTCTTCAATTCATCAAAAGAGGCTGAACCCTGTACAGTGTGCGGAGTCCCCTGACGAACGATACTGAAAGTGTTGGTACTACCCACGGGCCTAGCTCAGTTAATACTCAACGTTCTAACTGTATCTTGACGGACACATTATCCAGGTACTCCCACTGACCGAACATTTTTAACGAAACAGGACCATTTACGAGTCCAGATACAGTCAGAATGTTGCCTGGCCGAGCGAGCTCCATGTAGTCATCACAGAAAACTAATGGTGAACCATAGACAGAGAGGGAGAAAAGGTGAAGAGGTTTGGGCTTTCGGGTGAAAGGACAAGACTGTACAGCCGACTACCGTGGCTCAGTGCGTATAGCACCGGTTTGCGGCGCATTGTGGTTCGAGGTTATGGGTTCAAAAACTCTGCAGCCTCGCGCATGGACACAGGTGGGCGTTGACCTGTGTCCACGCTCCTCTCGCAAATGCACGGCTGTACACACACGCACACACACACACACACACACACACACACACACACACACACACACACACGCACACACACACGCAAGCACGCACACACACACACACACACACACACACACACACACACATCCCTTGGGTCGGTGTACACGGCAAGGACTACAGACACTACCTTCACCGCCCAAGGGATTCAGTCCAGGAGCGCTGTATGTCGGAGTCTGGACTAGTACGACTATGAGTAGGCTTGCGTGAGGGACTAGCGGCCATGGGTTGTTCCGATGATCTCCCAAGCCTGGCGTATCGCACATTGGTATCATTTGAGGGGGGTAGGGGGAGGTGCAAGCGACTGGCCAAGCTGCTCGGCACTAGCATCGCCGGTTTGGCCTTTGCTCCTGAAATAGAAATGCAACATCGCTGTGATTGATTTAAGACAGTGAAGGATGGGACTAGCTTGCTCAGATTCATCCCAATGCAGGACTGAATCCCTTGGGCGGTGAAGGTAGTGTCCACTACCCTCACGCAAGCTAGTCCCATCCTTCAGTCCTGCATTTATCCTGGGCTAGTCCAGGAACACTCCAGGTGATGGGTAAAAGGGTGAAGGACAGGACTAGCCCAGTCAGATGCATGTGAATGAACATCAGCACTTCCAGGTGCAGATCCATGCACCTAAGCACATCTGCATATCCAGGTGCAGACCATGAGTTTTGGCCCACCGTTGCCCCGGACTCAGATTTCCAGACACCGGAGCCGGACCTGTGTCTGGATCAAACCGGGCGTCTGGTTAGTTGGACATCAATCCAGACACCCAGACATGCGGACCCGGACGGTCCAGTTGAGCGCAAGCAGGTCCGGAAGTCCAGATGGTTTGAAAAAAAAGGGAAAAAAAAAGGAAACGAAAGAAGTAGAAGAAGGTAACGCGCTCACACACTCGCGGACACGGCTCTTGCTGCCGCTGCAAATGAAAAAAAAAAAAAAAA